AGTTTGTGTGAGAGTAGTAAATCGGAATGAAGGGAGGCGAGTGTTTTTCTCCGATTTGATGGGCTATTAGAGTGTGCGAATGGAATGGTCGCCATCTGGAAAATACCCGGGCCGGGACAAACCGGCGAACCTACTACATCTACATCTGGGAAGGAATTCAGGGAAACTGACTTTGAAAGACGTGAGGAGAATGCTGTTGTTTGCTTAGTTATCATTGTTCCGTGACGTCTGTGTCTTTATGAAGAGAAAGCTAGGGAGTGAATGATGGGAAATGGCTGGTGTGTAACACTCATAAACACAACGACACACATATACACAAGCGCACATTTGCACATGCACAGTATTGCTGCTGCTGCTCCTGATGTTAATGCTGCTGTTATTTCTGCTATTTCTGCTTTGGCTGCTCCTTATTTAGTTGCTGTTGTTGTTTTTACCGCTGTTCCTGCTGCTAGTGTCGCTTCTACAGCTGTTTCTTAAGCTGCCCCTGCGGCTGCTGCCTCGAAAGCTTTTCCCTTCTCGTAGTCTCCTGCAGTCGCTACTGTTACAGCTTCTGCAGCTGGTGCTTCTGCTGCTGCTGCTGCTTACGTAGCCACTCATTCTCCTATTGCTGCTGCTGCTGCTCCCACATACGCTTTTACAGCTTTTTTTGCTGCTAATGTTCCACAGAACTGTTGTTTGCATCTACTAGTAGAGCACAGTGCTAAAAAAATCCATTAGGTTTAAAATTCTATAATAAACCCTAACAATGGTTCGTCTGATACCGGAGACTTTTTTTTTGTGGGGGGAGGTGGCGTTATTGCTTGTCTTCACGAAGAACAATAGTGTAAATACCCGTGCTGAAACTATTTATAAAGAAATTACTATTGAAGGAGGGAAATTTAAGCAATTTTTCGTAAGACAAGGGCCATCATCAAGTTGGTAAATCGTATAGAAAAACAATAGCTGTATTAATTTATATATATATATATATATATATATAATATTATATATATATTATATATATATATATATATATATATTATATATATATATATATATATATATATATAATATATATATATATATAATATATATATATATATAATATGTCGTGCCGAATAGGCAGAACTTGCGATCTTGGCTTAAATAGCAACGCTCATCTTGCCATATAGGACAAGTGAAAATTTGTGTATGCAATAATTTCGTCAAATTTATTCTGAACCTAACGAAAAAAATATATTTCATTGTGTTTGTTTAGTATTAAATTATTGTAAACGTATCTAAAATATATTTAGTTGGGTTAAGTTAAAATAAATTGCGCTTGTTATAATAAGGTTAGGTAAGTTTTCTAAGATTCTTTTGGTGCAAAATTAAAAGTTTTTACATTAACATTAATGAAAAAAATGTATCTTTAAACGTATAAGAGAAAATTTTAGAAAGGACTTAATTTTAAATGAGTTCTTGCTAAGTGACCAGTTTTACATATTCGGCACGACATATATATATATATATATATATATATATATATATATATATATATATATATATATATATATATATATATATATATATATATATATATATATATATATATGTATTTTTTTTAGTATCACACTGGCCGATTCCCACCAAGGCAGGGTGGCCCGAAAAAGAAAAACTTTCACCATCATTCACTCTATCACTGTCTTGCCAGAAGGGTGCTTTACACTACAGTTTTTAAACTGCAACATTAACACCCCTCCTTCAGAGTGCAGGCACTTACTTCCCATCTCCAGGACTCAAGTCCGGCCTGCCGGTTTCCCTGAACCCCTTCATAAATGTTACTTTGCTCACACTCCAACAGCACGTCAAGTATTAAAAACCATTCGTCTCCATTCACTCCTATCAAACACGCTCACGCACGCCTGCTGGAAGTCCAAGCCCCTCGCACACAAAACCTCCTTTACCCCCTCCCTCCAACCTTTCCTAGGCCGACCCCTACCCCGCCTTCCTTCCACTACAGACTGATACACTCTTGAAGTCATTCTGTTTCGCTCCATTCTCTCTACATGTCCGAACCACCTCAACAACCCTTACTCTGCCCTCTGGACAACAGTTTTGGTAATCCCGCACCTCCTCCTAACTTCCAAACTACGAATTCTCTGCATTATATTCACACCACACATTGCCCTCAGACATGACATCTCCACTGCCTCCAGCCTTCTCCTCGCTGCAACATTCATCACCCATGCTTCACACCCATATAAGAGTGTTGGTAAAACTATACTCTCATACATTCCCCTCTTTGCCTCCAAGGACAAAGTTCTTTGTCTCCACAGACTCCTAAGTGCACCACTCACCCTTTTCCCCTCATCAATTCTATGATTCACCTCATCCTTCACAGACCCATCCGCTGACACGTCCACTCCCAAATATCTGAATACGTTCACCTCCTCCATACTCTCTCCCTCCAATCTGATATCCAATCTTTCATCACCTAATATTTTTGTTATCCTCATAACCTTACTCTTTCCTGTATTCACTTTTAATTTTCTTCTTTTGCACACCCTACCAAATTCATCCACCAATCTCTGCAACTTCTCTTCAGAATATATATATGTCGTGCCCAATAAGTAAAACTGATCAATTAGCAAGAACTCATTTAAAATTAAATCCTTTCTGAAATTTTCTCTTATACGTTTAAAGATATATTTTTTTCATTAATGTTAATGTAAAAATTTTTAATTTTGCACCAAAAGAATCTTAGAAAACTTACCTAACCTTATTATAGCAAGAACAATTTATTTTAGCCTATATATATATATATATATATATATATATATATATATATATATATATATAATCTATAATTATTTTATATATTATATATTATATATTATATACAAAGTAATTATATTTATTTATATTTATATTATATTATATATATATATATATATACATATATATATTATATATTTATATTATATATATATATATATATATATAATATAATATATATATATATATATTATATATATATATATAATGTCGTGCCGAATAGGCAGAACTTGCGATCTTGGCTTAAATAGCAACGCTCATCTTGACCATATAGGACAAGTGAAAATTTGTGTATGCAATAATTTCACCAAAATCATTCTGAACCTAACGAAAAAATATATTTCATTGTGTTTGTTTAGTATTAAATTATTGTAAAAAATCTAAAATATATTTAGTTATGTTAGGCTAAAATAAATTGTTCTTGTTATAATAAGGTTAGGTAAGTTTTAAAGATTCTTTTGGTGCAAAATTATTTGTTTTTACGTTATCATTAATGAAAAAATATATCTTTAAACATATAAGAGAAAATTTTAGAAAGGACTTAATTTTAAATGAGTTCTTGTTAATTGACCGTTTTTACATATTCGCCACGACATATAATTAATATATATATATATATATTATATATATATATATATATATATATATATATATATATATATAATGTCTTTTCTAATGCAAATCGACTACACGTAATTAACCTGTACATAACATCAAGTATAATGTAATACCTATGAGAGGGATACAACAAATTCTTTGTAAATATTCCCAAAGGTATTCACACCTCTCTCTGTTTTTGCCTATTGAGATTCACACCTCTCGGTACATATACACTAAGAGACACACACCTTTGGGCGCAGATACTGGGATAGACGCACAATTTTCGGAGTATATACATCGAAAAATAATTACCACTCGATGTAAATACACTGCAAAATACACATCTATTGGTGTATATTCAGTGAGATTCACTTTTGTATATAGTGTATATTCACTGAGATATATGCACTTGGTGTATATACGTACATATTTGATACATAGTATTTTCCATCACATTCCATTGTAATTAAGATGTTGGAGGAATATATCCCCTTTGAATATTTAAAATATTTTATTTTCGCCCCTTTTGCAACTTGTATATACTTGTGTTTCAGTGAGAAATGTTTGGGAAAGAGGTGTCAGAGTGACGTCAGCGTGGGTGGTGTCAGCATGAGTGGTGTCAGCGTGAGTGGTGCCAGCGTGACTAGTTTCGGTGTGAGTGGTGTCAGCGTGAGTGGCGTCAACGTGAGTGATGTCAGCGTGAGTGATGTCAGCGTGAATAATGTCAGCATGAGTGACGTCAGCGTGAGTGACGTCAGCGTGAATGATGTCAGCGTGAATAGTAAATGGTTGCATTGTTTGCACATTTGAAAATATAATAACATTTTACAATTTTTTTTTATTTGTATTGACATGAGGCGAAAAAGCGACATGAAGTCTTAATGACCCGCGTGTAGTTGATAGGCTTTAAACCTCCCATTAACCGCTCTAACGACAGTTAATATTCCTGAGCCAAGCTAGGATGAAATCAGGGTGTTGTTAAATGAGTGATAGGTTAGGTGCGTGTGTGTGTGTGTAGGGTGAGGATCCAGTGTGTCATGTACCCTGCTGGAAGAATGTTACGATTTTGTTTACCACTCGCGAAACGTTGGGAACTTTACGTCTGGGATTAAGTCATCACGCAGTTCTAAAAGATAAGGTGTCAGTTTTCAGTTTACTGCTAAGTTAGGGGATGTTTACTGTTTGCTTAGTGAGTTTTCACCGTAAAAATGAATTATTTTCTAGCCATAGTGTCAGCTGTATCTCTCAAGATTTTGTCCAAGGAAGGATAACTGAATTTAATTATTGCTACTTTTGCTGTGTCTGCTGTGTTCAAGCAGACTTTTTTTTTTGTTATAGAAGAAATGGAATCTTTAAAATAAACTTATTTCTTGTAATATCAAAATACGAAGTATTTTGGATATCACAAAATACGTCTCTCGATGTATATACTTTTTGAGAGATACCCTTCTCTTGGTGTAGATGCGCTAAAAGATATGCACCTTTTGATGCAAGTATGCAGAGACATACTTTTCGGTGTATAAACCCTTCACTAGCAGTAGAAATATCGCAAGATATTCACAGGAAATGTTAAATAAAACCAGGTTGTATATTGTAAGGCAGTTTGTATTTACAAAGCACTGGCAAACAAGGGAGATATTTTTTTTGTAATTTCCAGAGGTAAATACTGATAAAATGCAAGAATTGTGAATTCCCTCGTACTAATTGTAGACAACATAAATTATCATTGGTGCATTGATAAAGAAAAAGTAACAATTTAACGTCTAAACTTTCATTACAATTAACAAAATGCAAAATAGAAGATGAAATTTGTTAAAAGAAAATGTGAAAGACTTAGGATATGTAACTATGTACATATGTGAGCTGTGTTGTGTAAGCGACAAGTTAAGCTATGTATTATTCAGCTTCACGATTGTAGTCACTAGCAACGACATAGTTTGCAGAGCAAGGTCTTCTTACTAACAATGTATCGCTTAACAATGCACGACACGTCCTTAGAAGACATTCTTCCTTCTACAAACTGTCTCACTACCTTACTTGTTGGTATCAAAACATTTGACAGTCATAGAAAGTTTTTTTTTTTCTCGCATCAGGCCAAACGTCCGTACTCTTGTCATATCCTAAGTCAGCGCCGCGTATTAAAAACAGTCATAGGAACAGATTAAGGAGGAATTTAATACTGATCAGGTAAATCATGGCACTGGAGAAAGAAGGAATGGGTGTGCTTTGATATCCAGAGAGTTGTGCCTGTTGCTATCCTCATCAAAATCAAGACAGTTCAAAGTGGCGAATGGGTGCGAACTACACAGACAACAGGGGAAAATTCGTGCTTTTGTTTTGGTAGTCAGTGCAGTGAATTTGGTAAGCTTTAGGAACCCTGAGAAATAAATAGTTAGTGGTGATAACTCCTTAGGATTGACCTCTCGGACATACAACAACAATAAATAAATGTCATTCGTAACATACAAAAATAATAATTACAGGATGTTAGTCGATGCTTGTTATGATGCTGTACATCAGTGCTGGCCAGCAGCGAATAGCCACAGCCTCAATATTATTGAGTCCTAGCAGCTGGTGTTCCGTATAAGGAACTTACAAAACATTCACACACAGAGTACCATATTCGACGAGTAGGGGAAAAAAATACGTGAGTATGGTAACCTGTATATAACATTTCTCTGTGAAAGTCAATTATTAGAGATCCATTATCTTGGAAGTTTTGCCGAATTCATTCGTCGTCTTCAGCAGCAGTCTAGAGGAGTTTAGGGGGGTTGCACTTGAATTTCATGCACTTGCCGGTCTCGTAGCCAGACTCTGCAGCCTTCTTGAAGATCGCCAAGTTGCTTTTCATGCCTTCAGGAATTAGAGGCTCAATCAGGCTGGTAAATAAAAATGAAAAAGACACTGTAACAAGGAATCAGGCAGAGAGGCGTCAATCATGGGCAAAAAAAAAAAATTATAAATGACGTCGACCATCAACGTTAATTTAGGAAAATATCACTAAATAAATCGTAAGTTGAATATAATTTCTAAGCATTGATGAGGAATATTTGTTTTCGTCTTTCATTGCAACAGAAGCCCTAAAGGGAGAAATTTTCTTTAGCTATGATAGAAAAAAAAGACACCTGCAATCAGGGAAACAATCACTCGCCGGCCGCCTCAGTCACATTGTTATTGGATGATTTTCTCGCCTATTTGTAGCGGTCGAAGTCGTGAAGACAGGTAAAAAAAAAATCAGTCCATTGTGACCGTGAATTTTACAAGTTCAAGAAGAGTAAAAGTTGACCCACTAGTTTTTTTTTATGGGAGGCCGCGGGGAGCGTGGGAGGGGAAATGTAGCTTTTAAACATCCTGGCAAGAAAGTCTGGTTATTGTGGTTAGTGTTACGTCGTGATAGTTGCGTCAGGAAGCAGCAGCTTTCTAACCTGCCCTTGCAAACCGGTTATTATATAAGAACCTCTTCCGGGGGCGTGAAGAATCATTCAGTGCAGACGAAGTTACGTGAGTTTTTCCGAGGTAAGGAAGGTCAGGGGGCAGGAGGTGGAGCTCCGGCAGGTCTGACTGTGGGTCATGGCCTGCCGCCAGAACAAGGAAACACTGAAGTAGGCTTTATGTTCTTCTTGATGGTCCGTTTAATGGTCCATTCGAAGCGCGTCCAATAACTGAACCCATCCCTACTAATTCATGAACTTAGAATTTGAAAAAATATACATATAATATCAAACTTTGATTTAGTACCACTACTCGGCGGTTTGATCCACTTATTACTCTATTTCAAAGCCATTTTTTTTTACTTATAACCTCAACTATGAATTATAACACTTGATTCCAATACCACATGTTATATACCCCTCAAGGGAAGTTCCTTGACGCTGCTGAGGGGCTCTTGATCTAAGGAATTGGATCTATGGTCCGGTTCCCTGAATTGAGCGAAAATACCTTCCATCCCCCGACATGCGCTGTATAACCCTACGGGTTATAGCACTTCCCTGTGACTATAATAATAATAATAATAATAATAATAATAATAATAATATATACACGTCTATATATTTATTTGATATTTGCAACACCTTATTTACACCCAGTATATATAATTCCTTAAGCCATTTGTGCGATTCACTCGAGTCACTTCTCATTCTTCGTTTTCGAAATAGTGTCACTTTAATATTCTTCATCTTTCTTAGTAAGAATGATTTCTTATTCTTGGAAATATCTTTATCATTCATCTCAATAAGTTTTCAGAAGTTACAACTGTGCTAGCTTAGGTCTCATGAAGATTGACAAAGCTTATATCTCCCACTTCCCAGTCAACCTTCACAGGATTTTTCCTCCCGTGTTGACTAACATCGTCTATATTTATCTTGTTTCATGTAACGTAAGAAAGAATTGCTTTTCTAGGTTCCTTAAATTTTGAAATTTATTTCTGAAAGCCGACCTCTAAATAGAGTGAAAATCTATAGAAATCTTACATAATGGGAAAATCAAAAGACTGTATGATCCACAAGACTTGTCCGCTATGAGCCCCGATTTAATGAATTTAACGTCGCTCACCACAGGACCGTAGTGTACTGTGTTTCGCTGGCAGTATGTTTTGTGTGTGCTGTGTGTGTGTGTGTGTGTGTGCTGTGTGCTGTGTGTGTGTGTGTGTGTGTGTGTGTGTGTGCTTTGTGAGTGTTTTGTGTGTTTTGTGTGTGTGTGTGTGTGTGTGTGTGTTTTGTGTGCGTGTGTTGTGTGTGTGCCGGTATTGTGTGTGCTGGCCACGTCTTAGCTTTTTCAAGCGGTGCTTATGTAAACACAGAAAGCCTCGGCAGCTGGCGTGCGTGCTGCTTCCCTCCACGAATGTGTGTCGCGTCATCCAGTCAGGAACTGTGTCATCGCGCTAATTTCCATCACTTAGATAAGTTACCAATACTTGTAGCGGATAACATATTGGTAATTGATTACCACGAAGTGCTTCCCTCCAGCCCCTCAACGTAATTATCGCAAGAACCTTCTCACGCAGCCGGAAATACAACAAATTATGGACAGACGGGAGGAGAAATCGGTGTCATTTGTGATTCTCCCAGCCGTCTCGTGGAAGCTTCGAAAATGGCAGTGTGAGATCAAATGACAGTGGTCAGTATTGTGACCTAGTTTCTCTATCAAGCGATGAAAACTGGAAGAGCATGGTGAGGCCAATTTCTCTCAAGACGCTCTAAATTCTCCGAATAGGCAATAATTTCGCAAAAATCATTCTGAACCTAACGAAAAAAAATATATATCATTTTGTTTATTATTAAATTATTGTAAACTTATCTAAAATATATATAGTTGAATTAGGCTAAATTAAATTGCTGTGTCATGATAAGGTTAGGTAAGTTTTCTAAGGTCCTTTTGGTGCAAAATTAATGATATTTTACATTAACATAAATGAAAAAACTATATCTTCAAACGTATAAGAGAAAATTTTAGAAAGGACTTAATTTTAAGTGAGTTTTTGCTAATTGACTAGTTTAACGTATTCAGCACAACATAGATATATATACCCGAATATAAATATGCATGTATGTATATAGATGCATAAAATAAAATATTCGATATCTAGTTTTATTGGAGTTTGGTTTGCTTAGACTGTCATAAGCACGACAGTAATACACATTTGGATGGACACCATCAACATGGTTGATGCTAGCAACACGTGCAACTTCTGCATTGACGCTTGGAGCAATTACAACATCTAAATTAACGCCAGGATCTCGTGTAACATCTTCATTAACGCTTGAAATGCGCCAATGAAGAGTCGTCAAGCTCTGCAATTTACTGAGAGATAAAAAAATTTGTTTTCATTTTGCAGATTTGAAATGAAGAATCCTTAAGCTTCTGAGAGTAGACCGCGGGAGAGTTGATTCCGGAACCATTACTAAATAACATAACCTCTATTAATGTAGGGTGCGGCGGTAAATGGTCGCGAAGAAATGTGCTCAGTGAGTCAGCTAAAAGACAGTTGTCTCACCTGGCGTCGTCTGTTCATCTGTTGCTTCACAAGCGTAACGGGATTGGCAGTGAATGACCACACAGACAACAGACACAGACACAGACACAGACACACACACACACACACACACACACACACACACACACACACTGCCACTTTATTACAGTTAGAACTCACGGTAAAAAAAATAATTAAAATTAGTTTTATGTTATTAGTAACGGCGCTCTACGCATCCTTTAACGTGTTGTCTCTTTAAAACTGTTTGGTTTATCAGAACCCAAGATTGTGGGCAGGAAGAGCATTGAAACTATTGCTATAAAGACCATCCTCCTAATCAGCCAATACTTTACTGTGTATTAGTCTGATGTGTCACCGTGACACGAAAGGGTAAATAACTGACTGTATCGTACTGGCCGTCTGACAGGTTCCCATTTTTGGCTCGGGCAGGAATTTTCGTTTGTACAGACAAACGATATATTATGTCATAATTAATTTTTTGTCAAGATGACTATCAGCTAACAAATACCAAATTTTACATATACATCATGGGAAACGTTACCCAAAAGGACATTATTATTATTATTTTCATTATTATTATTATTATTATTATTATTATTATTATTATTATATTAATATCTACCTACAGACGGCTGATAAATTCAGGTGTGAACATTTTCATTTTGTTTTTTTTTTTTTTTTTTTTTTTTTATTTTTTTTTTTGCAAAAAAAATTAATTTACTAAATTGGTTTACACCTAGTAATTAGAGATAATTATATAATATATTATATATATATATATATATATATATATATATATATATATATATAATTTGATGGGGGCGAATAAATTTACTAGAGGACGTTCCAGTAACTCCTCAGTATTTGGTTACTCACAGAAAAAAACCCACAATTAACTGCTTAACGACCATCGCATAATTGACAACCAAGTACATGTACTGTGTTTTTATAGTATTTTCTTTCCGGTATACAAGAGCGTACATAGTTCTGCTCTACCAGATACAACCTCAGAGTTTACAGGTCTACCAAGCACAATCTTAGTGTACACAGCTCTACCAGACAATCTCAGAGCGCAGTTCCGTAAAACTTGCTCGTCATACTAGTCAAGTTTACAAACTCCTTAAGGGTGACGTTGGTTTCCTGGTTGAAGTTTGCCAACACCAAGAAGTTTTATAGTAATGTCGTTGAGTACTACATAAGGCCGCATGCTCTTGAAAAAGAGTAGAATGAGGGTGATGTGAAGGAAAGGCATAAATGAAGGTGAATGAAGCGAATGAGCGAAGGTGATATGGAGGAAATTCGTACATGGAAGACATTCACAAATAACGAGGATTGGGATAAGGAGGAAAGAGTATAAAAAATCCCTAAATCGCAAGAAAGGATTGAAAATCTACTCTTTCAGATTTGGACAAAAAATACTGGCATTCTGTTCACGAAGAAGCGCTAAACTCGCAAAGTTTAGCACCTGGGAATGGTAAGTAGTTATAGTTGATCCGATTTTACGATTTTTGTGCTGAACAGAACCTACATGAAGTACAAAGAAAAAAAAACTGCATAACAACAACTGGGGGGGGAGGGGGAATAAATACGACAGTTCCCGAAATATATGTAATCCGTAGAGCAAAAGACAACAGACTGGCAAGCAGCGTATTGGAAGTAGATGTTTGTGGGATATAAAGCTAGCTTAATAACATTTTCATTTTTCCACTATAATCTACCTTGTCCATATTACTATCGCATTTACTTTGTCTGTTTCGTAAGGTGAAGTCCAGCATCTTTCCTTAATTCATGGTATAACGAAAATCTTTGAGGACAATTTAGTTGCAGAGCGAAGCTCAGACCTGTGCAAAACACCTTACGAAACAGGCAAAGCAAATGCGATAG